AAAAAAAAAAAAAAAAAAAGAAAAAGAAAAAGAAAAAGAAAAAAATTCTCCCAGAGGGAGTTTAAAACTTTTCTCAGGTGTTTTTTGTTTTTTTTTTTTAATTTATGGCTGGGTGAGTTCAAACAGAATTCCAAGGCTTAGTTTTTAGAATGCTAGCTACTGAGGAAAAGAATAGGGAAAATCTCTTTTCTTTTTTGACTGTGGAAAATTAATACATTTTCATGAGAAAATGTGGTAGATAATTGGTGAGTTATATAGATTCATGAAAATATCAGTTTGTCTTTTTGCAGGGTAAATTTGTGACAGTGAATATCTCTGTTCAAATCCTGATATCTTGATTTCTGAGTTTCATGCTAAATTTTATGAGATGAAACTTGGTACCACCTAGAAGTATTTCCATATGTCTAATTGTTTACTACATGATTTTTTTTTTTTTTTTTTTTTTTGAGACGGAGTTTCACTCATGTTACCCAGGCTGGAGTGCAATGGCGCCATCTCGGCTCACCACAACCTCTGCCTCCTGGGTTCAGGCAATTCTCCTGCCTCAGCCTCTTGAGTAGCTGGGATTACAGGCACGCACCACCATGCCCAGCTAATTTTTTGTATTTTTAGTGGAGACGGGGTTTCACCATGTTGACCAGGATGGTCTCGATCTCTTGACTTCGTGATCCACCCGCCTCGGCCTCCCAAAGTGCTGGGATTACAGGCTTGAGCCACCGCACCTGGCCTACTACATGATTTTTAATAAAAACAATAAAATAACATATTGTCTAATAGAAGTAGATATTTTTGCTTTTCTTATTGAGATATAAAATGTAAGTACTTTAAAATTTCCTTCCCTTATTTGAACACTGTGTTTGAGCAATTTTGCTGAATTTTTCAAACAAGTTGTTTCAAAAACCAAGTGAGTAACTAACATGGAAATTGAATCAAGCCCAGTGACTAAGAGCTAAGGCTAATATTGAGCTTGCAAAAGGAGTTTTTTTTTTTTTTTTTTTTTTTTTGAGACAGAGTCTCACTCTGTTGCCAGGTGCCAGGCTGGAGTGCAGTGGCACAATCTTGGCTCACTGCAACCTCCGCCTCCCGGGTTCAAGCAATTCTCCTGCTTCAGCCTCCCAAGTACCTGGGACTGCAAGTGCACATCACCACGCCCAGCTAATTTTTGTATTTTTAGTAGAGACGGTTTTACCATGTTGGCCAGGATGGTCTTGGTCTCTTGACCTCATGATCCGCCCTCCTAGGCATCCCAAAGTGCTGGGATTACAGGCTTGAGCCACCACGCCCGGCCACAAAAGGAGGTTTTTAAAAGCAGTTAGTTTTTTTCTGGGATGCCTTTCCTGCAGATGTCTCAGCCTGCTCACCCCAGTTATGGAAAAAGTCTTACTGCTGACAGAGCCCTGGAAAGCTGGGAACTTACACGTAAATGCAGTTAAGGTTAAAATGAAAGGGGACTGAGAGGGTCTTACTGGTGATGAAGTTGTTTTTGTTTTGAAGCAGTTTCTAGCCTTTGGAATATAAAACAAAGTTAGATTTATCTTTAAAAAAATTAAATTCACAAGGAATATTGCAACAGGAAAAAGTACCAATTATGAAAAACTTCAAGGGCCCGGTGCAGTGGCTCACACTTGTAATTCCAGCACTTTGGGAGGCTGAGGTGGGTGGATCACCTCAGGTTGGGAGTTTGATACTAGCCTGATCAACATGGAGAAACCCCGTCTCTACTAAAAATAAAAAATTAGCCAGGCATGGCGGCACATGCCTGTAATTCCAGTTATTAGGGAGGCTGGGGCAGAATTGCTTGAACCTGGAAGGCAGAGGTAGGCAGACAAGGGCTTTTTTTCCTAGGGAGCAGCAAACAAGATTAGAGAGGTGAGAGAATGGCAAATGAAGGGTGAAAAATCAGATTTTAGATCAGAGAATGTTTTATTGTGAAGTCAGCATGCTCTTACAAGATACATAAAATGAGGTTGTATGTTGACTCAGACTGCGAATAGTTCAAAGTTCTGGAGCCTGTGAAAAATTTTATTCAGACCACTGGAGACAAATTCAGCTGATTCTTTTAATGGGAAAAAGAAGAAAATGTTCAGAGTTCTTATCGAAAAGAGGTTCCAGTTCAAGACCAACAGGAGGGTTCTTGTGGTTTCTCTCAAGAAAAAATTTAGGGTGAGTCCATACAGTAAAGTAAAAAAAAAAATTTATTAAGAAAGTAAAGAAATAAAAGAATGGACCAGCCTGGCCAACATGGTGAAACCTCATCTCAAAAAAAAAAAAAAAGAAAAAAAAAAGAAAGAAAAGAATGGCTTAGTCCATAGGCAGAGCAGCCCGAGAAATGCTGGTTGCACATTTTTATCTTTATTTCTTGATTATATGTTAAACAAGGGGTGGATTTTTTATGCCTCCCAATTTTAGACCACATAGGGTAACTTCCTGATGTTTCCATTGCATTTGTAAACTGTCATGACACTGGTAGCAGTGTAGCAGTGAGGGCGACCAGAGGCCACTCTCATTACAGCTTGGATTTGGTGAATTTTACTTGACTTCCTTACTGCAAACTGTTTTATCTGCAAGGTCTTTATGACTTGTATCTCGTGCTGACATTTTATCCTATCCTGTTACCTAGAATGCTGAACCATCCAGGAATGCAGCCCAGTCAATCTCAGCCCTATTTTACCCAGCCCGTATACAAAATAGATTTGCTCTGGTTCCGTCTACCTCTGACATCTCTCCCACATCTTTTTCACAAGGGCAACCTTAGTCCTAAGGATTGTAGAGGGATGAAGATCCATTTTCTGTAACTACTTCATGCCGAATAGGGGTGATGATATTGTTGCCTAACTATTCAGAGTTTTCTTTTTTTTTTTGGAGATGGAGTTTCGCTCTTGTTGCCCAGGCTGGAGCGCAATGACGCAATCTTGGTTCACCGCAACCTTTGTCTCCTGGGTTCAAGCAATTCTTTTGCCTCAGCCTCCCCAGTAGCTGAGATTACAGGCATGTGCCACCACGCCTGGCTAATTTTGTACTTTTATTAGAGGCAGGGTTTCTCCATGTTGGTCAGGCTGGTTTCAAACTCTTGACCTCAGGTGATCCATCTGCCTCAGCCTCCCAAAGTGCTGGAATTACAGGCGTGAGCCACCGCGCCTGGTCCAGAGTTTTCTTGACTGTGAAAAACAAACCAAAGGATCAGTGACATTTTATGCAAAGTCAGAAATATTACTTGACTCTTCTATTAGTTCAGTCCATTCAGTTAATTCCTACTCTGTTTGATAGTCATGAACATTTCAGTTCTCCATAAATAGTGAAAGTTTTTTCTCTATTCTAATGTCACAATTCCTAAAGTCATCACAAACTTGCATTTAAGAATGTGTGTTGGATGGATGTAGTGGCTCATGCCTCTAATCCTAGCATGTTGGGAGGCTGAGCCAGGTGGATTACTTGAGGTCAAGAGTTTGAGACCAGCCTGGCCAAAATGGCAAAATTCTGCCTCTAGTAACAATACAAAAATTAGCTGGGCGTAGCAGCGTGTGCCTGTAATCCCAGCTATTTTTGAGTGGCTCAGGCCGGAGAATCGCTTGAACCTGGGGACAGAGGTTATAGTGAGTCGAGATCATGCCACTTCACTCCAGCCTGGCTAAGAATGAGACTCTGTCGTAAAAAATAAATAAATAAATAAATCTGTCAAAGTCTTAACTATAAATCATCTTTTGAAGAGGATCAACAGAAGATGATTGTCTGGATGTCAAAGTCTTAGTGCAGTCACAGTAAAAAAAGAAAAAAACTGATTGAGAAGGAAATTTGGTTAGATCTGTGGCATACAATAATTTGATGTAACAATTGTGATTATTAATGATGTACACTTAGTCATTTAGAATTACAGGAGTTTCTCATAGTTTTGGTACACATACCAATAACATATTTACACAACATAGTCCAATAATAGTGAAATATTATTTCACATTTGACAATGTTTTCTGTGTGATTTTTCATACTAAAGGAGCCAAAATTTACTGTTGTATTTGTGTATTATTGATGTCAAACCCAATTCTTTTTTTTTTTTTTACGGACAGGGTTTTATGTTGACCAGGATGGTCTTGAACTCCTGACCTCAGGTGATCGACCCACCTCAGCCTCTCAAATTGCTGGGATTACAGGCATGAGCCACCATGCCCGGCCCAAACCTAATTCTTAATGAATCTTTCTAGACAAATCTATCCAATTTTAATGTTTGATCCTAAGGTAATATTCTCATAGACCTTTTATAACTCTTCACAAAGTCCTTGTTGTTAAAGAGTAAATCAGTGCTTTAAGAGAAGCTGTCACTTTTATCTCGACATTCATTTTACAGAAAAACTGAATAATACCCATTTAACTTTAGTCAGTATGTTCACACACAAAAACTCTTTTGCAATTAAATTTTAACAAATCTTTCACAGTTTGTTTAAACCTTTAGTTTTATTCTTTCTAATTTAAAACAATCCTTTAACCTTTTAATCTAGGTGAAAAAAATCCACATTTCCGTATTTTCTTATGTTTTATGAAAAACACATTTCACTTTCTCTGTATACCTTGCGTGTAACTTTTTTCATAGTCAAAATTACGTGTTACATTGTTAACTCTTAGCACCTTTAGTTTTGGTGAAAACTTTGGTAAGTAAGGGATTTTAATTGAGTACTAGATGTGGAGTCTAGGACACAGACAGAAGTGTATATAAGGTCTGACTCCAGTGTATTAATAGTTAGGGTATATGCCTAACTTGATGTGTCACAGGCCTTACCCAGCTGTAAAGCAGGCAAGTTGTACAGTGAAGAGTCATAGTGGCATTTCGTGACATCTTTTAAGAGGCCTTAATGACCTTTAAATTATACAACGTTTTTTGCATAAATTTCCTTTAGTGAATTACTCGTTTACAATATGTTTAGACTTTCTTATTTGTCCTAAACATCCCTCTTTTTAACCAAGTCATTTTGTTTTAGGATAATAATTTACTATCTAAGATCTTTTCTTTTTCTTTAAGATTCATTTGTGATCTCGGCTCACTGCAACATCTGCCTCCTGGGTTCAACCAATTCTCCTGCCTCAGCCTACCGAGTAGCTGGGATTACAGGCACCTGCCACCACGCCTGGCTAATTTATGTATTTTTTGTAGAGACAGGGTTTCACCATGTTGGCCAGGCTGGTCTCAAACTCCTGTCCTCAGGTGATTTGCCTGCCTTGACTTCCCAAAGTGCTGGGATTACCAGCGTGAGCCACTATGGCTGGCCAAAATCTCTTTTCTTTATAACCTTTGTATATTTAGGGGGTATGGCTAATTTCATATGTCCTAAGGCCTTATTTATAATTTGATGTCTTCAAGATAGGTAAATCGAACAATTTTTAAAAATCATAGAACCAATTTATGACCATAAAGTATTTGGTAAATCTAGTAACTGACCTATATAATTTGGAACAAATTTTTATATTTTGAAGACACTTTTATTTTCCCTATGATCTTTAAAAGTGTTTTTACTTCCAAATGATTATTTGTCACATGAACTAAAAGATATTACACTTTATACTTTTTGGACAAAATATTTTATTTAAGCTCTTATTTTAAAACCAATTAATCAGAGTTCTTTCATATCATACACACGACACATATAAATACACAGACAAAAGATTCAGTAGTTGTAAGGTTTTTCTTTGTCAGCTTTTGTGTATTATTTTTTATTTAAAATTTTTTTTTAATGGTGTTTCTCTCGTGTTACTCAGACTGGAGTACAATGGCTCAATCGCAGCTCACTGCAACCTCCGCCTCCTGGGTTCAAGTGATTCTCCTGCCTCAGCTTCCTGAGTAGCTGGGACTACAGGCATACACCACTATGCCCAACTAATTTTGTATTTTTAGTAGAGACAGTGTTTCTCCATGTTGATAAGGCTAGTCTCTAATTCCCGACCTCAGGTGATCTGCCTGCCTTGCCCTACCAAAGTGCTGGGATTATAGGCACCAGCCACTGCACTGGATTACTGGCTTCAGGGTGGAGCCCAGGAAAGCTTAGGTTTCTATGGCTTAATCAGTAAACAGAGCTGGAAACCAAAACAGATTCCCCTAAATTAAGCATCCCATTTGTACATCAGATCTTGGATCTAAAAAGGAGAGAATTAGCTTATTCCAAGGGAAGTCTTATTTCTCAGTGCGGGGTAGGAATATGTCCATACTTTCTAGGTGGTCAAGAGTGTGTTTCTCTGATACAAAAGTGAAGAGCTGAGTATTTCCCCATGACTCTCATTAGCCATTTCAAAAGTATATTTCTCATCTAGGTCTTACATGCCAAAGTTCTTTTATAATGTGAAGTACTTTTTGATACTCCAGAAGTCAGAAACATCAGATAATACAATGCAGAACAGAACAGAAACTTAGATTTTGAGAATGATCTATCCACTTTTAATTCCTGGGGTTTCATGAGAAAAAAGGAGTGTTACCCAAAACAGGGTCTGTCACACCTCTTCTGTTTTTCTTAAGGAGTCCCAGGCTGTTAGAGCTTGAATATCTGCATTTAATTAAGCTGACCTTTTTTTTTTTTTTTTTTTTTTTTTTTTAAGAGAGCTTTTAACCATAGTGCTCTTTTAAATTTCTTATTACCAGAGTTTAGTCAGGTCAAACAGCCAGTATCTCTGGCTTTTTAATTTTACTAAAGTAACTTCACATGTTTTCT